ATGCAGAACCTAAACCCAGCTCAGACACAAACAGTGACTCCCCAGATGAAGGTCTAGATCACAGAATTCATACTAAATGTAAACGAGAACATCAAGGTTATTCTTCTGAAGCCTCTATTTGTGCTTCTAAAAGGCCTTGTACAGAGGATACCATGTTGGAACTTCTATTACGCTTGAAACATTTAAGCTTGAAAAACTCAATAACACATGGATCTTTCTCAGGGTCATTGCAGGGGTACCCATCCAGTGGTGCTAAATCTCTTCAGTCGGTTTCACCTACTATCACAGACCTTAATTTTCAGAATCAAGATGAAAATATGCCAAGTCAGTACCTTGCACAATTGGCAGCTAAACCTTTTTTCTGTGAGCTTCAAGGATGCAAATATGAATTTGTGACCAGAGAGGCTTTATTAATGCATTATCTTAAAAAGCATAATTATTCAAAAGAAAAAGTCCTCCAGTTAACCATGTTTCAGCATCGATATTCCCCATTCCAATGTCATATTTGCCAAAGGTCATTTACAAGAAAAACACACCTTAGGATTCATTATAAAAATAAACATCAAATTGGCAGTGACAGAGTAACTCACAAACTGTTAGATAATGAAAAATGTGATCATGAAGGCCCATGCTCAGTAGACATTTTGAAAAATGATTGTTCTGCTGAACTTGGAGGTGATCCCAGCAGTAATGCTGAGAAGCCACACTGTCATTCTAAAAAAGATGAATGCAGTTCAGAAACAGATTTGGAGTCATCTTGTGAAGAAACAGAAAGTAAAACATCTGATATTTCATCACCAATAGGTAGCCATAGAGAAGAACAAGAAGGAAGAGAGGGGAGAGGTAGCAGGAGAACTGTTGCTAAAGGAAATCTGTGCTATATTTTGAATAAGTACCACAAACCATTCCATTGTATTCATAAAACTTGCAACTCCTCATTCACCAATCTAAAAGGCTTGATTCGCCATTACCGAACTGTACATCAGTACAACAAAGAACAGTTATGTTTAGAGAAAGACAAAGCAAGAACCAAAAGGGAACTTGTCAAATGTAAAAAGATATTTGCTTGCAAATATAAAGAATGTAACAAACGTTTCCTGTGTTCCAAAGCTCTTGCTAAGCACTGTAGTGACTCTCATAATCTAGACCATATTGAAGAGCCTAAAGTGCTTTCTGAAGCTGAATCTGCAGCAAGGTTTTCCTGTAACCAGCCTCAGTGCCCTGCTGTTTTTTTTACATTCAGCAAGTTGAAGCACCACTTGATGGAACAGCATAATATTGAAGGAGAAATACATTCGGATTATGAAATTCATTGTGATCTTAATGGCTGTGGCCAGATTTTCACCCATCGCAGTAATTATTCTCAACATGTCTATTACCGACATAAGGACTATTATGATGATCTGTTTAGAAGCCAGAAAGTGGCAAATGAAAGGCTACTAAGGAGTGAAAAGGTATGTCAAACAGCTCTCACTCAGGGGCATGAACAGCAGACTACTAGGAGGTCATTTAATGCTAAGGCTAAAAAATGTGGCTTAATCAAAGAAAAGAAAGCTCCAATTACTTTTAAAACAAGAGCTGAAGCCCTCCATATGTGTGTGGAGCATTCTGAGCACACACAGTACCCCTGTATGGTTCAAGGATGCTTATCTGTGGTGAAGTTGGAGAGCAGCATAGTGAGGCATTACAAACGTACCCATCAGATGAGTAGTGCCTACTTAGAGCAACAGATGGAAAATCTTGTCATTTGTGTTAAGTATGGTACCAAAATTAAGGAGGAGCCCCCTTCTGAAATAGAGCCCTATATAAAGAAAGAAGAAGAAGGAAGCTGTGAATCAGAGTACACAAAGCACAGTCATTCCACAGGCGACCATAGCATATCTGTCCAGAACACTGATTCCCTTCATCCAGGTGAAAGGGATGGAGGTCAGAAAGGATGTACAGAAAGCAAACAAGTATTTGAGGCAGATCCTCTTCTCTACAGAGGAACTTTGAAATGCAACCACAGTTCAGAAACCACTTCCTTGGAGCAGTGTAATATAGTTCAACCTCCTCCTTGTAAAATAGAAAATTCCATACCTAATCCTGATGGGACTGAAAATGGGACTTACTTCACAAGTTTCCAGCTGCCTTTACCAAGGATCAAAGACTCAGAAACTGGGCAGCAAAGTTCAGGGCAAGAAAACACTGTAAAAAATTCAGCCCATGTCCCAAAAGAGAATTTTAGGAAGCACTCACAGCCCAGATCATTTGATTTGAAGACTTATAAACCTATGGGATTTGAATCTTCATTTCTGAAATTTATTCAAGAAAGTGAAGAGAAAGAAGATGATTTTGACGATTGGGAGCCTTCAGAGCACTTAAGTAATTCTTCACAACCCAGTAATGACTTAACAGGGAATGTTATGGGAAATAATATGGTGAATGACAACGACCCTGAAGTTGACATACCTCATTCTTCCAGTGACTCTGCAATTCATGAGAACTTGACTACAATCCCACCTTTAATAGTAGCTGAGACAACGACAACAGTTCCTTCCTTGGAAAACTTGAGGGTCGTATTGGACAAAGCATTAACAGACTGTGGAGAGCTTGCCTTAAAACAGCTTCATTATCTTCGGCCAGTTGTTGTCCTTGAAAGATCTAAGTTTTCCACACCAATTTTAGACTTGTTTCCAACAAAAAAGACAGATGAGCTTTGCGTAGGAAGTTCCTAAATTGCAATTTTGTTTTTGAAACAGACTGGCTCCAACACTGCAACATGGGGACAATTGCCAACTCGAACAAAGGCTGAGAACCAGCTATACCATTGTTTAGGGTAGAATAGGCTGTGTATTTACATGAATGTATAATATCTACGTCAGCACTATTGGCTGAGTCCATTAGCTCTCCAGTTGGTTTATTGATTGGGTTTTTTGTTAATTAAAAAAAAGAAATGGAACTGTACTCTTGTTTGGTGCTAATTAATACATCAAAATATATTGGGGCTTCCTTTTTCAAATTAAGTGTGCATGATTGTATATGGAACAAATACTAAAATCCCAGGGTGGGAGGGCTAGGGAAAGGGATATGGAGTTCTTACTTGACTTGAATGTGCACCTGAGGGTGCTTTGTGTAATATATTGTACACTACAGCATCTTATATTTTTTGAGTTGAGTTTCAATAAATTACAATTTTTCACCCATTCCTTGTTTACTCATAAAGAATGTTCATGCCACACATAAACTTGAATTGCACTTGTATTTTCTAGAATGTGCACTTATATTTTACCAGAGTTTTCCATTTCGTATTAACCAAACCATTCACGTTTTGAATTACTATTGTCCTAAAATATTTTTGTGGGAAGAAAATTCTCACATTGAGTAATTAGCTTTGGGAGTCAAAATATCTCCCAGAAGAAGATGACCAGGGGTTGTCCAGATAGAAAGGAGAGGGTATGCCAAGCAGAACATGAAGGGCATAGCAAATTCAGAGGTATGAAGTCGTGTGTCCAGGGAACTACAGATAATTTGACAGGAGTAAACAGAGCAGGAGTACCAGCATGAGTGAGATTTCTTCTGGAGATAGATAAGCAGGAACCAAACCATATGAACACTTAAAGAGTTTGGACTTGAGTCCTTAGGCAGCTGAGAGCCTTTGAAGGATTTTAAACAAAACAGTAATTTATAAATCACTTCAGATGAGTGTGATTTGAGGGGCTGAGAATGGAAACAATAGGTAATAAGATGAAGTAATTGAGGCAGAGGTAGTGAGGGTACTGACATTTGCAGTAGAGGGAAGAGTAAATGAAATTGAGAAATTGGTGGACCTTGGAGAGTGAAGAAAATGTTTTGAGGAAAACATAAGGATTCAATAGTGATGCATCCAGTTGCAGTGGGACTAAAGGGAAAGAAGGGGTTTTGGAGAAGAGAATAGAAAGCCAAGATGATCTTGGTCTCAAGATATGCTGAGATTCAGTGTGTTGTGGGACATCGGTGTCTACTGACAAGGGAAGCAGTGTGTTTATACTCTTATGAAGTTTTCATCCACTTTGACCAGTTAGCTATGAAATGACTCAAACATTTTTACCATCCCTGTATTATGCCTGTGGTTAAGATTTTAAGACCTTTTCTCTGACCCTTAAACTTGTTGCCTTGTTTTGTCATCTCTAGAAATTCCATCCTTCTGCCTTCTCACCCTAAGTCTAAAGCACCCCCTTGCCTATGTCGTTGCTTAGCTCTTATCCCAGTAGGTAACAGAGGATTGTCAAATAAGAATCTATTGAAAGAAAAAGTGATCGAAACTGGGACATCTTAGAGGCTGAGGCCACTGCTGACTCCTTGGGATCTTGAGCTAATTTCTTCTGCAGGCTTCCGTGTCCTCACTATGGAGTGAGAAGATAAGGGTGAGTATCTTGAAAAGTCTCTCTGTGATCTGATCATGAGAAACAACTGATGGCCTCCCCTTTATTTTTTTAATCTTTTTAAATTTTTATTTATTTTTAATCATTTACATTTAGGGAGATTTTTTATTTTTATTTACTTTTTTCTATCGCCTATAGCACCTGGTATTCCTAGGCGGTCTCCCATCCAAGTACTAATCAGGCCCGCCCCTGCTTACCTTCCGAGATCAGACGAGATCGGGCGTGTTCAGGATGGCATGGCCATAAACCGCTTTAAAAAAAAAAAAAAAAAAATTCTTTGTATTTTAGCCCCAAATAAGAGCTACTAATTTCCTTAAGACTGAACTATATCCATTCAACCACTCCTAACTCGTAACCCCTTGGAAAGACCAAGTGAGTCTGTTTGCAGTGGAACCAAAACCCTAATTTTCAGAACCCAGCTGAAAGTTTGCTTTAAGTACTTAGGATCATATGGTTGCTCCTAACATTTTCAATTCCAGTTGAAGCAGCTTGCTTCATTTGATCGTTAATGGAGACAATGTTTATGTTAAAAGCAGCATGGATGACTGACTATGTGATGATAATACAAAAGGTCAGAGGGTTGTTTTTGTAGCTTTTAGTACCATTTATTGATGTCTCGGGGATTTGTCCCAGACCTGGAAACATTGACTATGTTTTCAAAGCCTTTTCGATACAAGAATGCCTCATGAAATAATGGGTAGTGATAGAAAGTGCCAGACACTTTTATTCTTGCTTTTTATCCAGAATTCTCTTAACTTCATTGTCTCCTCATGTTCATGAGCACATATGTGAAAGAGAGTGGGGAATGATAGGGAAGAAAATTTTTGATTAGCCCTCCTAGGGATTCTATCTCCAGCCTATCCTTTCTCGGTCCCAGGTTGCCAACTTCAGAGCCGCACTGTCAAGGACATAGTTGTTGGAGGACAGTTAGTCATTAACCAAATATTTACATACATTTTTAAAGAGAGTTCCAGGTGCTTTAGGATATTAAGATACCAAAGTAAATTTGTTAAGGAATCTACCATTGTGGAACTTTAATGTGAGTGCTGGGGTAACTTAAACATTGTTAATCAAAGCGTGGCAGTGTACCAGTGGCATGGCCATCACCAAGGAGCTTGTTAGAAATGTAGAATGTCAGGCCCTATTCCAGACATTCTGGACCAAAATCTGCATTTTAATAAGATCTCCAGATGACTCATAGGCACAGAAAAGTTCTAGAAGCAATGGCCTAGAATACAAAGTTGGAAGTTATGTGAGAATTGAGGGTAATTATACTTTTTTTAGCCCTTTACATAAAATTATCCTGTTGAATTTTCATAATTCCATGAAGCTGGTACTGTTATCCTTATTTGACAGATAAAAAGATGGATATGAAGTGTCTTGCCTAGCTGATAAAAGCTAGGAATAGGTGGAACTTGTTTCCAATCTCTTCTGACTGAAAGAATATCAGGGAGGAGAACTTAATGTGCAGGAAGATAAAAAGTTGCAGGTGGTTATTTAAAGTACCCAAAATATCACAGTCCTGTAATTGAGTGTATTATTTGTGAAAGCAAATAGTGGGAAATAAGTTTGAAGTGTAGGTAAAAGCCAGGACATGCAGATCCATTTCCAGTCACACATCCAGTATGACCTCCTCATGTGAGGAAGAGATGGAAAACTGGTGCATATTGTTTTAGTAACATGTAACTTGTGAAAAGGTCAGTTTTTTCTTAAAAGCTTCTAAAAGAAAAATTGTTCAATCTCCTTTACTCTCCACCTCCCATCCCCACAGTAGACTAATGCCTCCTTGTTTTGTACTACTGATTCAGAGGCAGAGCCTCCTATTATGTAAAACCGAGTCTAAAAGGAGTGGCCCACTCTGACCTGCTGAGTCTACACCTGAGAGAATAGATTCTGTGAACCTACATTTGGAGATACGAACCACTTTGGAGAAGGTAACCAAGATAGTCAAATTTAACCTGTCAACCTATGGTACGTTTAGCATGGAAAAGACAGGAGGCACAGGAAAGCTATAGCCAAATATTTATAACCACCTGCTAGCTCCTGGGGATCAGAGTGTTGAACATGACACAGTAAGTTTTCTGCATCATGGACATTAAGAGTCTGGTAAGGAAGATAAACATTAAATGAAACACTAAAAATAAAGTGCTGCAATAGAAGCTCTGACTGTGATGGGAACCAAAGAGAGGACGAAAGGTTTCCTTGAGGAGGCAATGTTGAAACTGAAATTAGAGGAATCAATAGGAATTAGCCAGAGAGGACAATCCAATTGTGTGCATAGGCTTTGTGGTGCAACAGCTTGGTATGGTAGTGACATTGGCAAGTCTAATATAGCTCAAGTTGAAAGAATAAATGAGAAACGGAAAAGAGAGAGGGTTGGGTAAGTAGGCAGAAATGAGTTATTTCAGGGCCTTGTAACCATGTACTAGATTTTGAGTTGTGTTTGAAAAGCAGCAAAGAATCCTTTAAAAGCTTGAAAGCAGGCCTTTTGAGCCACGCTTCTTTTGCTCGGGCCTGCTTCCACTTCTGGAAGTGTACTTTCCTTTCTATTAAAACTTATGCAAAAAAAAAAAAAAGCTCGAAAGCAAGTGTTGCATATGTCGTAAATTGCAGTGTCCAAGACAAAAAGCCCTAATAGGGCATGATGTGGAAGACTGCTGTGTGGACATGACAGACTGATGGCTGGCCGGATGGGTAGGTGGATGGATAACACTAAAGGTAGGTTGAGATGCCTTCCATAGTGAAAAATTCCTGGTCGTTGGAGATGTTCAGGTGTCTAAGTGGGGAAACAAATGAGTTTTTCAGCCTAGTTTCTCTTTGAGACACCTTATATTATTGAGATTTATAATACCTTGTATTTGGTCATAAACATCACTACAAATAACAGTTCCCTTATCTAGATGTGCAGCGTTCTTGGTTGTTTTACACAAATTATCACATTCTCATTACAGCTCTACAAGGTAGAAATTACTCTCACTTTACAAATGAAGAATTGAGCCCCAGATTAAGTAATCTGCCCAAGGTAACAAGGTTAGTGAATATTAGAACCAAAATTTGAACCCAGATCCATTATACCCCTAAAGGCCTATCATAACAGCTACTCTATAAAGCTTCTATTCAAACTAATACACAAATATGGTAATGGGCACTTGATGAATGAACAATTTAAGCTATAAAGATACTTGGAATTCTTCTAGGGGACTTTGCATTCACTTAAAAACATTTTAATGCCTACTATGTGCCAAGCACTAGAGATATAGTCATCAATAAAATGGACATGGTCCCTGTCTTCTTTGAGTTTATAGTAGTCAGGAAAGACACATATTAGACCAAAAATTGCACAAATAACAAAAATTGCATGTAAAGTATAAGGTGCCACGTAACAAGGATCTAATCTAGTGTAGGGAGTCTCAGGTAATGATTCAGTAGTCACAACCCTATCTTCACAAAGTTTCTGGTTACCATTCTTCAGTGGTTTCTGACCGATGTTTAACCTGTTAACAGTCGAATCCTAAGTTAACTTTCAGTCCTTGCTAGAAAGGATTCTGGCTGTGGTCAGTCACTAGCAGACCTGGTTTAACATCAATAACAGTAACTCCTAAACCATTTCACCCTGACATAAGTACTATATTTCCAACAGCATTCTAGACTCCATTTTCTGGATGTGTCTCTGACACCACAAGCAACTTAACATACCTCTCCTTCCTGTAAAAACAAAACAGTTATTCCTTCCTCACCAGTCTTCCTCACTATTGTACTTTCAGTCAACCAGAATGAACAACTTGGAATAGCATCAGACAATATTTTCTAAAAATCATTTGTCATAACTGACCCTTTTTCACCTTTATTGTTCCCCTCCTTTTCCTCTTGGTGCAAACCTTTTGGATTCTTTCTATCTTTGTAATCAATCTCACAATTTAAATTATGTACTTGTGTGTGAACTATTTTCATGTAAGCTTTTCTATTTTATATATTCATTTATTTTATATTTTCATACCTCCCCTCCTTCCTGAGTAGATAGGTACTACTCAGTAAATAATTGATTTGATAATGTCATATAGGTTTCAGTACAACATGCTACTTTTTACAAAGTGCTTAGAAAATTATGCCATTTGTTCCTAAAATAAACCTTGTGAAGAAGGTGGAATCCCCCTCTGTTAACAGATGAGCAGAATGGGAATCAAATATATTAAAAGCCTTCCAAAGATCAACTTTCTAAACAATAGTGTCATATATAAAACCTATGCTACAGAATGATCCAATAATAACCTCCCTCCACATTTACCAGCTATTCACTCTTTAGTAACACCCTCTCTAAATCCTGTCTCCTCAAATCTCCACATAGCCTCAATTTTCTTATTTGTCATGTGAAAATAATTCCTGTCCATTCCTTGGATTGTTGGAAATAGTCTATATCTACACTGTCCAGGAAGGTAACCACTAGCCACATGTGGCTACTTAAATTTCATTAAAGTTAAATGTAAAACTCAGTTCCTCAGACACACTATCCGCATTGCAAGTCATTAGTGGCTCTCATGTTGGATAGAGCAGATAAACATTTCTATCTTTGCAGAAAGTTCTATTGGGCAGTGTCGTGTTAGAGCTAGGACTCGCCAAAGATCAGAGAAAGCAATATGACTGAACTGGAAACCCAGGCCAGTCCCTGGTTGGTTTTGAATGAGAAGGTTCACTGGTTGAGTTAGAAGCAAGCTGACCTTTGGAACGGTGACATCACAGAGCACAGCTCACAATGGCTCCAGGACACCTGGGCTCCCAGGCCACTCTCCCTAACTCATCTAAGTTCCGGAAGCCTCTGCAAATGCAGCTCCTGGGGCTGCTATCTTATTAAAATGTCAACATTTTCATCTTCATCTGCCTGGGACAACATCATAGATCATATTTCTCTGAGCTCGATATGGAATTGGCTACAAGCAACTCTGGGAGAGACTAGTGCACCTCAACAAACAAATTTGGGTCTACTAGATAATTTTCCTCCGGCTGTGCAAGTTATCCTGGGGATTTTCTTTTTGATTTTGTTGGCAGTAGGACTATATGCCTTATGGAAACGAAGTATTCGGTCAATTCAGGTTATACTCTTTTGTTACAGAGAAATTTCAATAGTTATAAAATGAAGTTTGATTGGTTCTCTACCGTATTGCTGCCACCCAGTTTTAAGACCATGCAGATGTGCAAGGGTAAACCTTGTCTCTGAAGTTGATTGAAATTAAGTTATCCTTAAAAACTTCTACTGATTAGGTTTTGAGCATAAAAATGCTCTTTCTCACAATGGTCTTTGGCTCATCTTGTAATAAAATAGATCAAACAAGTTCATAACCTGAGAAGGCAGCCCAAAATTTATTTGATCACTTTTTCATCTTTGAGTATCTACTGTGTGCTAGACACCACGTGGAGTGCCTTTATAGACTAGGCACTACAACTATAACTGGGTTTGGCCTTTCTGTTCTTACTGTGCCATTGCTCTGTAACTGATGAGGAGGCACATATATTCATTTACTTATGATGTTTTCATTATTTCCTTGTTTTAATAAGATGAGGTTCTATGAATATACAGGGGCTCTTTGGGGGAAGAGGAATATAATTGAGATTATGGGAAACATATAGTACTTTACATACTTTTGTTTAATTAATAATAGCTATATTTACAATATAGTAAAAATGCTATGAGAATCTCACCAATTCAATGGAATGGATAGAAGTTATTTTCATATGACAAGGAACCTGAGGTGAAGTGAGGTTCAGTGGAAATTTAAGGAGGTAGGATTTAAAAAAGGGCTTTCTTAAAGAGTGACTGGCTTGCTTGGCAAATGCTGTTATTACCAGATCATTTTATAGCATTCACGTATTTTCATATATCGCTACTGTTGAGGTATCGTGGTCACATGCGTTCTCTTAATTTCTCAAAACCCTGTATTGTAGGCAGGGCAGGGATTATCTACATTTTGTAGGTGAGGGAACTTGCTTATCACCTACTCAAGTTGACATTGATTGGAAGAGCTGGAAAAGCTGAGATTTGAACCCAAGTTTTAGGATTTTAAATGCAATTCTTCTCCAAAATCTCATTTAATATAATCTAACAGACCTAAATCATCCCCAGTAGGGATATGTGTGTATACATTTTCACATACATGCATTTTAATTAGCTAATACAAGAATATAAGGCAAAACCCCCTTAAACTCTTATCTATAATTCTGGTTTCTGCTCTTCTATGGTTAATGCTTAGCTCAATCAGAGAGATGAATTCACAGCCCTCCAGACACCTCAGCCAAAAAGAGAGGTAGTGTAACAGTGGTAAGTAGCACAGGCTCTGGAGTCACTGCTGGGGCTTAAGTCTTGGTACCACCACTTGCTGTGTGAACTGAGCAATCACTTAGCCTCTAAATCCCAGCTTCCTTATCTGTAAGATGGGCTTGCTAACAGTGCCTCTCTCAGGGTGATTGTGAGGATTAAAGGAGATACTGTATATATAAAGCTTAGCATATAAATAAGTACTCAATAAGCAGTGCTAGTATTATATTAAGGAATAAAGATGATTTGGTTTGTTTTTTTCTTACCCTGGCAGGAATCTGCCTTGGTATGTTAAAAATTTTTTTTCATGATCAGGAAATCCAGTTTTTCAGAATTCTTTTATTCCAGTACCGGATCTACCATTTTCAAGTATATAACCTTGGATAATGACTGAGTCCAAACTGGAAAGTATCTCAATGGATATTCAGTTCTGTTTTGTTTCTACATAGATAGGTCATGCATAGGCAAGGGAATTCCTAACACAGAACCCTGCATGTGGCAGACTTTCAACAAATAGTATTTATTATGATAATCTTTATTAATTAAATGCAAATAATAATCCCTGATCTGCCTTCCACTCCATTTTGTGGTGAAGATCAAAAGATGAAATAGATGTGAAGATGTTTTGTTAAACAGAAAGCTTTGCAAAAGAATGAGGAATTATTGTTGCTATTAGGTTTTTGTTTTGTTTTACATCTATAGTAAACTGGCATTTCACATGAATAAACAAGTAACATTCAACTTCTGTTGTTTTATTTTAGAAAATATTGTTGTTTGTAATCACACTCTACAAACTTTACAAGAAGGGCTCAGATTTTTTTCAGGCTTTGCTGGTCAACCCAGAAGGGAGTGGTCTCCCAGGTCAAGACAATAATAATTTTTTCCTGTCCTTGGGTCTGCAAGAGAAAATTTTGAAAAAACTTCAGACGGTGGAAAACAAAGTGAAGGACCTGGAGGGGATGATCATATCCCAAAAACCTTCCATGAAGAAGGATTGCTCCTCTGAGCCCTACTGCAGTTGCTCCGACTGCCAGAGTCCCTTGCTAACATCTGGGTTTACTTCCACATCTGAAATGTGATGGACTCCAATCTTTTCCAGAAAAGCACTGTTTCCCTCATGTGTGCAGTGGTGTGTCAATAAAGATAGAGAACTATATTGAAATTATCCTGCAAGGACTGGCTCTCTATTCAGTAAGACCCAGCATTGACTTGTATGTGGGTTTGGATAATGTGGGGTATAATGGTGGTTAAAAATGTCTCTGAGATTGTGGTGCCTGCTTGGCAGGCTGGAGACCATAAGCAGCCATGTAGAAGAGGACAGCCAAACAGGAATCCATGGGAGTGGGGAAAGGGAGGGTATTAGAGAGATGGCCTTGAGCTCCACACTGAAGAGGTTGGATTGGATATAATAAAAACAGCAAGAAAGTGCGATTTAAGGGCAATGCCGCCGACTGTCCTGTAGGGGTAGGCTGGCCCTTGTGTTGGTCTTTGGCCTAAAGGTATATTTGGCCCTACATTAAATATTCAGAGGTGTGCGAGGGTGGGGTGGACATAAAGGGGACTGTTTAATTTTATACAACTTTTACTGATACTTCCCTCTGTGCTGAGCATTGTGATAATCCTTGAGAATCTGTCCTGAGTGCTTAAGAGCACTCCATTTGGCTGGTTGGACAGGTAATTTCAGAATAAGGAATTCTAATACGGTGGAGTCATAGCATCTTCAACTTAGAGGGATTCTCTTTATGTGAATCCCAGCTTGACAGGGAGGGAAAAAAAGGGAGGAGGCACCTACCTGCCATTACACCAATTTGAGTGTGTACCCTGACAAGAAAGATGGCCTAATGGGGAAAAGATAGTAGATGGTCAACAAGTTTATAGTGTGTGCATTTTTGCCACAATAAATGATTACATTCATTAAAACACTAACTACCTGACACCTTAATGAAATATTTCATTTGGTGTGCAAACAGTTACTTATCGTTGTTCTGAATAAAAACTGGCTATGCTGTCCAATAGGAGATAATATAGCAGTCTTCCAAAGGATTTCCAAGGGTAATTTCGATCATAATTTTTGTCCAGGCACTGGTGTTAACATATAATACCTGTATAAGATGAGACTTCACTGTATAGTGTACTCAGTGCAAAAATGGGTTGGTGAATATAGGGTGGGGCCAGGAAAGACTTTGCAGAGGTGACATTGAGTTGTCACATAAAGAGTAACATAGGTTGACAGTGAAATGATGATACTGCTGGTGGGATCATCATGGAATCGTATAAAAATGAGGATGGCTTGACTAGAGAACAAGGAGTGTTTCAGGATGGCTGAAAAACTGGCTATTTCCAGAGCGGCAATGAAGGATTTTGGCTTTACAACAAGACATACTAACCTCATCCTCGAATCAGCTTTAATTCATGATGTGGCAAACAGAACAGATGGGAGTTATCAACAATATGCATTCTCTGACAGTGTAAGTGAGAAGTTTGTTAACTATGCTGCTGAAAGAGTACCATACAATCTTTTAAAGTCAATGTCTCAATTTTTTGGTGCTATCTAAATTTCAGTGTCTTCCTGCATAGTTCCAGTCATTTTGTCTTGATTACCACTCAGGTATATCAAAGGAAAAGTGTTTGAAGAAGGGCCTAGAAGAGTAGACTGACATCAGGTAATGAAAGGCTTTTATTTTATTTATATATTTTATTTCATTTTATTTCATTTCATTTTGAAGAGCCTTTAAAGGTCATACCATACTGTTGGAAATGGACCATGATAGCTTTTTAAACAGGGGAGTAACAAAGATTTGGTAGTCCCTGTGGAAACAGAATGAGCTATATACAAAGTAGGGTAGAAACTGATGGGTTCACCTTGTTCCTGGCTCTCAGCTCCCCAGAAGGAATGTGTGATTCACACCACAGTCATAAGAGGTTGATACCAAGTATTCATTCCCTGTATGGGTCATTCTTTTCTTGAGATCAGAGCATTTATGACCAGGGCATCAATTAAGGGAACTTGGATGCTTGGCAAGCAGAGAATCATGGCAAGATAGGAAAAGGGCTTGAGAGCTATTTTATCATTCAGGTTAGATAGGGTAGATGAACTACTCTATATTGGTGTCTACTCTAGGAAAAAGAATCCTTATCCTTCAAATTCAGTCTCTCTTCTTTGGCAAAACACTGACAATAGCTTGTTTTGAGGCTCTCAATTCAGACTCCAGACAGATAAGCCCCTCTA